TGGACAGGTGGATAGTGGATGGATGGATGATGGATGGACAGTGGATGGATGGATGGATGGATGGTGGATGGATGGTGGATGGATGGATGGATGGATGGATGGACAGGTGGATAGTGGATGGATGGATGATGGATGGACAGTGGATGGATGGATGGATGGATGGATGGATGGATGGTGGATGGATGGAGGGTGGATGGATGGTGGATGGATGGTGGATGGATGGATGGATGGATGGATGGATGGATGGTGGATGGATGGAGGGTGGATGGATGGTGGATGGATGGTGGATGGATGGATGGATGGATGGATGGACAGGTGGATAGTGGATGGATGGATGGTGGATGGATAGTGGATGGATGGATGGTGGATGGATAGTGGATGGATGGATGGTGGATGGATGGTGGATGGATAGTGGATGGATGGGTGGATGGTGGACAGATGGATGGACGGATGGATGGTGGATGGACAGTGGATGGATGGATGGTGGATGGACGGATGGATGGACAGATGGATGGTGGATGGACAGTGGATGGATGGACGGATGGATGGACAGATGGATGGTGGATGGATGGATGGATGGATGGATGGTGGATGGATAGTGGATGGATGGACGGATGGTGGACAGATGGATGGACGGATGGATGGTGGATGGATGGTGGATGGATGGACGGATGGATGGACAGATGGATGGTGGATGGACAGTGGATGGATGCGCTGATGGCTGGTTTGGTGGGTGGGTTGATGGTCCCCCCAGGTCCCCCAGCCCCCGGTGACACTCACGTTGCCGTAGTCAATGTAGAAGATGTGAACTTTGCCGCCCGACTCCACCTTCTCCACCCGGGCCCGGTACCTGCAGTGTAGGATTTCTGGGTGTCACCCCAAACTCCAGCGCTCCCTGGGCCGGCCCCACCCCCGGGGGGTGCAGGACCCCCTGCTCACCATTCCCCATCGACGAACTTGGCGATGCAGAAGTCCCCTCGGCGCGGGGAGTACGACCCCTCCACGGGCGGGTGGGCGCCCACCTCGGCCCGCATGTTCTCCATCAGCTTCTCCAGCTGGGCACCTGGGGGGCAGCCCAATTAAGCACCTGCCCCCACCACGTGTCCCAAACCTGGACCCCAACCCCAGTGTGACCCCAGAACCTGAAGCCAATCCCAAACCTGGAGCCCAACCCCAGTGCGACCTGAGAACCTCAACCCAATCCCAACCATGAACCCCACACCTGGACCCAAACCTGGACCCAAACTCTGAGTCCTAAATGTGTCCCCTAGACCTTGACCCTCAACCCCAGGTCCAACCACGGACACTAACTTCGGACTTCAACCCAGATCTCCAATGTGGCCCCCGATCCTGAACCCCAAGTCCCAACCGTGGACCTCAACCTCGGGTCCAACCCTGGACCCCAACAGTAGATCCCAAACCTGTACCCCAACCCAAACCTGACGCCCACTCTCAGTTCCAGAGGTGGCCCCTGACCCTGACCCTCCATCCCAGGTCCCAAACCTGGACCCCAATCTTGGGTCCTGAACAGGGACCTCCACCCTGGGTCCCAAAGATGGCCCTGGGGGGTGATGGGTGATCCCACCAAACCCACGAATCCTCATCCCACTCAACTAAGCCCCCCCATGGCCAGGCTGGGGAGCACCCCTGGGTGCTGATGGTCCCCAGGAGGGTCCCCCTGCCCCCGTACCCGTCTCCACGTCCTGCACATAGAAGTGGAGGTCGTCGGTGATCTCGGTGACGAACACGGGTTTGTAGTTGGCCGTGCGCTCCTTCTCCTCCAGCACCGGCACCACCTCCTCCACCGGGGTCTCCTCGTAGTGGGACCACACCTGGGGGCACAAGTGGCGTGGGGACATCCCTTGGGATGGGGACGTCCCTTGGGATGGGGACATCCCTTGGGATGGGGACATCCCTTGGGATGGGGACATCTCTTGGAGTGGGACATCTCTTGGGTTGGGTCCATCATCTCTTGGCACAGGGACATCCCTTGGGGAAGGACCATCCATTAGGGTCGGGACATTCCCTGGGGTGGGCCCGTCATCTCTCAGGGTGGGGATATTTCTGTGGTGGGACCATCCCTCAGGGTGTGGACCCCTCTTGGGCTGTGGACATCCATCGTGGTGGGGCCACCCCTTGGTGTGGGGACATCTACTGTGGTGGGGACCTCACTTGGCACGGGGGCGTCCCTTGGCACGAGGCCATCGCCTCTTGGGATGGGGACATCCCTCGGGTGGGGAGATCTCTTGACAAGAGGACATCCTCGGGGTGGGACTGTCTTCTGGGATGGGGCCATCTCTTTGGGACGGTGCCACCCCGGGAGGGTCCCAGCCCCCCCCTCACCTTCTCCTTCCTCTGCTTGGCCGCGTCCTGAGCCGCCAGCAGGGCCTTGCAGTAGGGGCTGCGCTCGGCCGTGAAGTGCACGCGGGACAGCGCCTGCTCCACCAGCGCCACCGACAGGTTCACACCCTCGATGTGCAGCCACCCGATGAAATTCCCGGCCTTGTCCATGCTCTCCACCTCCACCTCCACCTGTGGGATTCCAGGAGTCACCCTGGGCACCGAAGCCACGGGCACCCGCCCCAGCCGCCACCTCGTCCCGGCGATCCAAGCTCCGTCCAGGGACTGGCAGGCGGGTCCCCCCCGACGGCCTCTCTGCGCCCGGCTCGGACCATCGACCCCGAGGTGCCACCCCAAAGTGTCCCCCCCGAGCAGGTGACAGATGGGCCACGTTGTGGTGATTTAACCCCTGGCCATGGCCTTTGCCGTGGTTAACTGGGTTTGGCTCCACGGGCGCTGCCAGACACGGAGTGTGTCCCTCCCCTGAGCTCGCCCATCCTGCCAGAACCGTTCCCGCTGCTTCCCAAAGCCTGTGGCATCCTGCTGTCCTTCCCCTGTGCCAGCCACAGCACTGCACTGGCCATGGGACCACACGGGACATGGCACTGCACTGGCCATGGGACCACACGGGACATGGCACTGCACTGGCCACGTCACCGCGTGGGCTATGGGCACCACCCCCGCCACGGCACCACCCCGGCCACGGCACCACACTGGCCATGGCACCGCCCCGGCCATGGCACCACCCTGGCCATGGCACTGCCCCGGCCATGGCACCACACTGGCCATGGCACCACCCTGGCCATGGCACCACCCCGGCCATGGCACCACCCCGGCCATGGCACCACCCTGGCCATGGCACCACCCCGGCCATGGCACTGCCCCGGCCATGGCACCACACCGGCTGTGGCTCGTGCATGGCAGGGTCACGTTGCAGGACGAGCCCCTGGGTCCCCCGCTGTGCCCAGGGTGCCAGGCTGGTCCCCGGGGTGCAGCACCCACGCACGGCTGTGGCACCTCCCGAGCGCTGCCCGGTGACGCTCTGGTGACAGCAGTGTCACTGTGCCAGCCCCGTGGCAGGGTGACCAGTGAGGGGACGAGCAGGACATTGATGGGCTCAGGGACAGGATGTGGCCATGGGGACAGGGGGCACGGGGTACACGAGGCCAGCGTGTCCTGCAGCTCCCAGGGGACATGGCTGCCAGTTCTGCAGCCCCCCCAGGGATGTGCCACCACCACGGGGACTGTGACCCCAGGGAGGGAGGACAGGAGGGTCCCGGGGTGTCCCTGGGTGCTGCCACACAGGGTGTCCTAAGGGGCTCCCAGCCATCCCCCCACCAGTGGCACTCTGGTGGCGGCTCCAAGTGCCACCAAGAGTGTGGGGGGGCAATGGGCTGCCTGTGGGAGCTGCAGGGGGTCCCCTCCCCACGATCCCAGGGGTCCCACCTGGGGCAGGGGGGACACAAGGCAGTGGTGGGGGTGCAACCCCCAGCCCGGGCCCCCCAAAGCCGGTGGTACCCCGGTGCCCATCCCCTGGTATGGTGCCCCCTCCCCAGCCCATGGCAGAGCTGGACCTGCAACCCCCTCACCCCCCCATCCCCACTGCAGAGCGGGGTTTGTGCTCCCCATCAGTGTCACAACTCGGGTCGGGTCTCAGCCCTGAGCCCGGGGGGGTCCACAGACCCCCGCTGAGCTGGGGGGTCGGATCCTGGGGCGGGTGCCCATCACCCCAGCACTGTGCCCCCTCCCCAGGCAACGGCAGAGCAGGACCCCCCTCCCTCTGCAGAGCGGGGTTTGTGCCCCCATCGGTGTCACAGCTCGGGTCGGGTCTCAGCCCTGAGCCCAGAGGGGGTTAAGGGGGTCCACGGACCCCGCTCGGCGGGGGGTTGGATCCTCAGGGGGGCTCGGGGGGGGGGGGTGTGTGTGGGGGCCTCCAGCCACGGATGGAGCCGCATCCCCCCCATCACCTTAAAGCCACCGAGCCCCCCCGAGCCGCCTCCGTCCCTCCCTCCGTCCCTCCGTCCCTCCGTCCCCGGCTCCGGGCCCCGGGGAGGGGTCGTTCAGGGCGCCCCCCTCTCCACATCCCCCGAGCGGGTCTGCGGGGAGGAGGAGGAGGAGGCGGCGGCGGGAGGGAGGAGGAAGAGGAGGAGGAAGCGGCTCATCCCGCATCGCCCTCCCCGCGCACAAAATCGCTCCGGGGCCGCCGCACCGGCCGAACCGGGGCCGGCGGGGGCCCCTCCGGAGCGAGGCGGGTGGGTGGGTGGGTGGGGGTGCGGGGGGGGCGCGGGGGGGTCTGTGCGGAGCCGGGATGCGTCAGCAGGAGCAGCGGGAGCGGCGGCAGCAGCAATCCATCCGCGCTCGCACTGAAGGACAAAAGGATGAGCCAGCCGCCTGCGCGGCTGCTTCCCGCACCGCCCGCACCGCCCGCACCGCCCGCACCGCCCCGCACCGCACCGCCCGCACCGCCCGCACCGCCCCGCGCGGCCCCCGCCACCGGAGGATGCCCGCCGGCACCGCCACCGCCACCGCTGTCACCGCCGCTGGCACCGCCACCATCGCCCCGCGCCGCCGCTGAACGCGACACCCACGCGGGGACGCGGGAACGACACGCGGGAGGGGACGGGACGGGACCCCCCCGCCCCGCCACCAGCGCAGCCGCCGCCGCTCCCGGGAGGTGCCCCCGCCGGCATCTCCCCCCCCCCACGCCGACGCCCTTTCCTCCTCCCCCCCCCCTCCCCGAACCGCGTTTTTCCCTCTCCCGGGGGGGCTCCCCGAGATTTATTTATTTATTTCGGCCTATTTTTAATCTTTATTTTCCTGTTTTATTTTTAGGTTTCCTCCGGGGTTGGTTGTTGTTTGGTTTTTTTTTTTAAATTTATTTTAATATTTCTAATTTTTATTTTTAGTTTTTCGTTTTATTTTAGCCTTATTTTAACTTTTATCCCCCTTTCCCTTCTTATTTTAATTTCGGTTTATTTTATTTTAGATTTCGATTCCATTTTTATCTCCTTTTGACTCCCCTTTCCTCGCCAAATTTTTTTTCATTCCCATTTCCCTCCCCGTTTTTCATTTTTTCACTTTTTCTCTCCTCCGTTCCCTCCCCTTTTCCCAATTCTTCCTTTTCTCCCCGCTTCTCTTTTTTAATTATTTCCTTTTTTCCTACTTCCCCCCCGGTTCCCCCCCTTTTTCCCCGCGGTCTGGGGGGGGGCGGCCATGCGGGCCCCGCGGAGCCCCCCGGGCCGGCCCCAGGAGCGGAGGTGCGAGGCCGCGGGGTTGGCCGCGGTCGGGGGCTGCCGGGCCCCCGCTTAGCCGGGCCGGCCCCCCCCCATCCTGCACCGCAGCCTCCAGGAGCCATTTTGTCTTTTTTTTTTTTTTTGAGCCGGCCCCCCCCCCTGGGGGGGCCGGGGGGGGGGGGGGGGGGGGGGGGGGGGTGC